TTGGCCTAGGAAAGAAGCAATGACCCAAGTCGCTGGGCCCCAGCCACCTATACAGGAGACCTGGAAGAAGCTGCTGGCTTCGACCTGGCCCAGCCCTGGCCATTGTGGCCACCTGAGGAGTGAATCAGTGGATGGAAGATATCTCTCCCCCAAACCATGTGTGTGTGTGTGTGTGTGTGTGTGTGTGCGTGTGTGTCTGTGTCTGTGTCCCTCTCTCTCTTTCAAATAAATAAATCTTTAAATATATATATAAATATATATATATGTTAATCCTACATGGGTGTTCCCACATTTCTAAGCACCTAAGCACAGAAGTTGGAGAGGACTTCCAAATCATGAAAACAAGAAACATTTCTGGTTGAAGACAATGTTTGAAAGATCAGAGACAGGGAGGGGCATGCTAGGTTGAGAAACAGCTTTCGGAGCCTGGGGTGTGAGGATGTGTTGGGAGAGTGAAGTTTCCTCACTCTGGCAGGAGCAGAAACCGCTAACCTCGAGGTGGTCCTCCTGGGACCAAAGACGTAGCAGCAGGCACTGTGGCCTTGGACCTGGCAGCGGAGTCTTTGGCCTCCTGGAGGTAATAAGGCTGGGGGGGGGGGGGTCCTCCTGGCTAGCAACTTCCCCATGTTGTTGTCTGACTCAGTTTGATGTCATCTCTGCAAGCCAGAATCCTTGTTGCTCCTGGAGAAGACAGAACAGCACAATCCACCTGCAGTCCCATTGGCCTGTGCCTGCCTTGCCGAGTGAAGTGAGCTGAAGAATCCTTCATCTGTGAAAATGCCAAAATCCAAACCCAAATATGATTGGTTCTGCTTCAGCATTTCCTCAAATGACTCCATTAGGGGATGGCTCTGGCTCAGGACTAATTAGGTCATAATGGGTGCAGAGCGTCCTGGGATGCAAGCCTAGAGGGTGTCTTGGGAGCTCTGAGGGGCCTAACATGACCCCAAGGCCTCCATGCACAGGCTGGCCCTCTTCTGGATGACAGTGCACACGGAGTCACATTCTGTTATACCAGGGCTGCTTCCATCTGCACCCAGAGGGGGTGGAGCCTGTGACAGTTCTGCAGAGAATCCTGCTTTTCCTCAAAGCCATCTGCTCACCAGTGCGATGCGAAGGGCCCGGGTTGAATCTGCTGGGTTTAATTCCTGTCTCTGACCCCTCCTGGCTATGTTGCTTTGATAGTTAAAAAGGAGAGCCTGAGTACCTTCCCCATTAGGATGCAATGGGATAGTGTAGACACAGAGCAAGCCTCTGCTTTTACTGTCTGCACACTTCCCCAGCTCTGGGAAGCAGAGCAGCCTTTAGCATTCCAAATGGAAGTTGGTTTTTTGTGTATTTTGTGTTAGTACTCAGTGGTTTGGGGAGATCATGCTTGGAAGGCCTACGGAACCTGATCAGATAGACAACAAAGAAATGGTGCAATGCCTCTTCTGTCTGGCATCTCTCTTCATTCTTAGACATTTGAAAATATCTTTGGAAAAAGAAGGGATGGGGTGGGACATTTAGTCCAAAGGTTAAGCCGTCCACATCCCATCTAGGAGTCTGCTACTTGGGACAAGTAGCACCTTGTAATTAAGTGCAGGATGTTTCTAGAAGTAAAAATATCTGATCATTTTCTATTCATTTATCAATGTGCTGTGGAACTAGCCTGAGAGAAGAGGACAAAATTCATTTTTTTTTTTTACCTGAGTCACGGAAGCTTACTAGGGAAATGCAGTCAAATCTACTCTTCCTTCAAGGTTCCTCTCAGCGTCAGCTTCAGGCCCAGTCTTTCCGGGCCTCACTGATCATACAGAGCCCCTCAGCCCTCAGGACCCAAGCCTGTGGAGACAGCAGGGACAGGCGCCCACCCTCACTCAGGGCCTCTGCTTCCCAGACCCACTCAGGACCACAAACCCCAGAGCCTTGTAGAGGTCAGGACTCATCTGTGTCTGGGTCCCAGGTTAGGACTGTCCCATCCACTCTGTGCCCCCAGGAACACCCCTCCTTGGGAAGACGCCAAGTGGCACTGGCAAGGGTGGGGCTAGCAGTCCTACACTTGGCACATGGCCAAACCCTGAGGGGATGCCTGAGGCTTCATGGGGCTGTCACTCTGCGAGTCTCATGCCTTCTGTGCTACTAGACAGGGGAGTGCAACAGGCCACACTGCCCTTAGGTCCCCGACCGGCCCTGGATCAGAGCTTGGCTCCAAGCTCTTGAAGAGGCAGAGGTGGCATCAGATAACCTCAGGCATCTTAGTTTGAAGGTCTCATATGAATGATTGTCAGTCCTTGTCATCAGCATCCTTCTCAATGGTGGAGGAGGCCAAGAAAGTCAAGGAGGCTCCTATCTACTGCCTGCCTCTGTGGGCATTCATCCACGACCCAGGAAGACAGACCAGCATGCCCTCTTCTCACTCAAATGCAGTGTTGGGCTCCATCAGCACTGATAGGAATTAATCAAACTCACAGCTCTGCAGGGAAACAGACACTCTCTCTTACAGCACGAGGTGGAAGAACAAACAGCAGGATGTGGTGGCCCCCAAAGGCACAAGTGATACTGAGACGATGACCACATTAGGGAAAGGGGTCTTTAGAGACGTAACCAGGTGAAGGATTTTGAGATGTGCCCCTCCCTGGTTATGCAGGTGGGCCCTCAACCCAGTGATAAGCATCCTTAAAACAGATAGAAAAGCAGAAAACGCACGTACAGGAGAGCGAAGGAAGGCAGAGATTAGAGTAATGCAGCCACAATCCCAGAAACACTCGGAGCCTCCAGAAGCCAGAAGAGGCAGGAAGGATCGTCAGGACCAAAGAGCAGGGCCCTGCCGACAGCCCCATCTCAGCCGTCTGGCCGCCAGCACTGCTGTTTTAAGGACCCAGTTATGGTTATTTTCCCTGCAGTTCCAGGAAACAGTCCAGCTGTCTGGGGACATGGACAGCCTCAAGAATTCATCTTTAAGATTTTATGATGGCCGGCACTGCGGCTCACTAGACTAATCCTCTGCCTGTAGCACCAGCACCCCGGGATCTAGTCCCAGCCGGGGTGCCAAATTCTTTCCCGGTTGCTCCTCTTCCAGTCCAGCTCTCTACTGTGGCCCGGGAGTGCAGTGGAGGATGGCCCAAGTGCTTGGGCCCTGCACCTGCATGGGAGACCAGGAGGAAGCTCCTGGCTCCTGGCTTTGGATCGGTGCAGCACACCAGCTGTAGCAACCATCTGAGGGGTGAACCAATGGAAAAGGAAGACCTTTCTCTCTGTCTCTCTTTTACTGTCTAACTCTGCCTGTAAAAAAAAAAAAAAAAAAAGATTTTATGACACCGTGGCCCCTTGGGAGTGACAGTGGTGCGGCAAGCAGCCTGGTTTTGGTGTTAGGCCAGGCAGACCCCTGTCCCCTCACCAAGGACACAAGCAATCTCTAAAATAAATGGGGCCCATCATCTGCCCTCCTCGTCCATCATTACACACACACACACACACACACACACAGGAAGTCCAAAGCAGCATCCCTCCTTTATGAGGTCTCTCTATTTACAGTGCAGTCTTTAAAATGACAAGTACTCTCCTTAATGACTACAAATCTAAGAGGCAGTCCTGGGCCCTCTCTGCTCCCCATCCTTCCCAGCAATTGGAAGGAATAAAGGCGTTGGGTTGTTTTTGTAGCAGGCTTTTGTTGTTGCTGTTGTTTCCAGGATGCAGGCTGGCTTTCACATGAACCTGGCTTCTTGCCTACAAATGGAATGTTTTAAACTCTCTATGTGTCATTCTTATCTTTATTTATCAGACACTGTCTGTAGCAGCAGCAGCGCCTGCACAATATCAAAACGTACCTGCTACAATCGTGAAAATCCAGTCCATCAAAAAAAATGAACTTGTTTGCCCACCTTATGGATAAATTAGTGGTTTTTATTTTGCTACTTAAAGATTTGCTCAGTGCCTGCAGTGACTGGGGGAAAACGGTAATAATAATAATGATATGAATAACAGTTACAAGCATTGTTTTCAGGCAGTTACCAAGTGTGAGGCACAGTGCTAAGCATATAAGATGCACAAGTGCCTTTTATGCTCAAAAAAATACCATCAGATGGAAATGAAAAGGAGCACCTTACAAATTAGGAAAATTGGGCTCTGAGCATTCGAATGACCTGCTGAAGCTCACAAGTAGCAGACCTGGGTAGCCAGTTAGGTTTCCTCTCCCAGGGCTTGTAGCCACAGCACCCAACTGCCTTGCAACTGTGCATGTACTGTAGCACAGTTCTGTAGTTCTGTAGCACAGCTCAATGGGGATAATACTAACTCGTCAGGGAGGGGTGGTATGGTATGCGTGTGTATCTCTGGGTGCATGCATGCGTGCACACATTCATGTTTACATTCTGTGTCTGTGGTTCACATGTGTGTGCATGCAAACATGTTTGCAGTTGCATATATGTGTGCATGCACATTCTTGTGTGCATGGGTGCACTATGTGCCTGTATTGGACTGTGCACATGTGTACATATGTGGGGAAGTACATGCGCAGAAAAGCAAGAGAAGAGGTTATGGAGTGAGCTGGGGTTGCAGTACAGCCTGAGATGTGCCAGGACAAATTGATTCTGTGAGACTGAGAAGAGAGTGATAACCAGTTGTCCAGTGTGTACAGATTCCCTCTACCTCCTCTCAGGACTCTTGCAGACAAGTTCTCCTAGGAGGATTCTTCCAAACTCACTGCTCAGAGAGGCAGGAAGTGAACACCATTTTCCCACAGAAGTCTCCTGCTCACGGGTCAGGACTTTTGTGGTGGACAACACTAAGGGCTAATTCCTCACCATCGATTAAATATAGTACTAAAGTCTTTCCTGAAGCCTTAGGGCAGAGTGTGCCAACACAGCCCATGCATGTGGTGGCATGGGGTGCTCTGCGACAGGCACCTCCAGATACCTCCGTGGGGATGTAGCAGACAAGGAAGGGAGGACACAAGAGCCAGCTGTCCCCTCACTGCTTCTGCTCAGCCCATCAACAAGGCCTGTGCTTGTGTCTTTCAGGAATTCGCTGACTCCGTGTCCCAGTTGGTGACACAGAAATTCCGCGAGCTGACAGTCGGCCTGACATCAGTGCACGGCCGCCACAAAGCACTGGCAGGAATCGTCATGACCAAAGGTAACTGCCTCTGCCTTCTCCCGTGGGAACTGTTAACCCCAAAGAAAAGAATGTTAGTTTTACCTGATCCTAAGGTGGGGGGTGGGGAGTTCCTAAGGATTCTCTCTTCCACACAAAGCTGTGACAAAGAGATGAAATAGAATACACAGAGAGCAGTGGCCCAGGTGTTACTGGGAGAAACCAATCGTAACTGGAGGTATAATCAGAGCTGCCAAAACCCATCTCTGCAGAAGCTGGAAAGATCCAGGCTGGTGTCTCCCCAAACTCATTCCCAGAAAGAATCCAACACACCGCCATGTCTAAAATCTGGAATCCAAGGTTAGATGGATCACTGGGTATGAACCATTTAAGCTGATGGGCAAGAAAACATCCTCTTTCCCTGTCACCCCGCAATGCACCAAAGACTGGGGTTCTAATGCAGTCAGTCCTACTGAATAACTGTGACCCCAATGGGAGTTGACCCCAAACAGGCAGATGGAGCCGATTCGGATGAGGAAAGTCTGGTGTGGAGATGACCTTCCAAGGCGTGTTGGTTCTCAAAAGTCTCTGATTCCCATGGGCAAATAGCACCTGAAGACCTTTCTCAGTGTGGGATCCATACACTTACTGGCACAGATGACCCCTCAGAGGGAGGGAAGCGAGAGGACACAGAGGGTACACCTAGGGGACACAGCATATATCTGATGTCCAAAAAAATTTATGTTAAAAAAAACTGAAAAAACACATGGCTGTCATATTTTTACCCATCAAGACCTCTTCAATGTTGTCTAATGCAAGAACATTAGAGCAGGTGCAAAATTCTTAGGACCCTGTCCTGGATGTGTTACAAAGATATGCAACTTAACCTTTCCTGTTTGAGCATTTTAGTAAAATGGAAATAAAAGTGCTTCCTCACAATGTCATTTGGCAAGCAAGACAAAGTATATGAAATGCTTTGAAAGGTAAAATTGCTTTATAAATACAGTATAATGTTCCAAGCCAAAACAATTGAGTTTGTCAATTGTATCATCGTATGTGGCGGCACGCATGCCGCCTAAGCCACTAACATTTGCCCTTCATTTATACGCTTGATGACATTTGCTTCTGTGTAGAAGAGAAAAGATTCTAAATTGAGGGCTGAGTTCACCTCCACCAAGATCATCACTGCTGAATGTGACTATGTTTTTAATCCAGCCAGCCAGCAGTCACTAATAGGATGCCTCTGTAATGACACAAAAAATGACACAGCCCCCTCTCCCCTGACTTTGGGTGCAACAGGATCATTGAGGGAGCAGTAGAAATGATACAGGCTGACACAATGGATCTAGCATCAACCTGCTTAGATTTGAATCACAATCCACCTGCAAATAGCTCTGGGACTCCCAGGCCAGTCACTTAGCACCTCTGGGACTCAATTTTCTCACCCTGAAAATGGAGACCAGGGCCTGGCATCGAGGTCCAGGTGTTAAAGCTGCAGCCTGGGATGCCAGCATCTCATGTGGGTGCTGTTTCCTATCCCTGCTGCTCTACTTCCGGCCCAGATTCCTGCTGGTGGCCTGGGCAGGAGGCTCGGAGGTGGGGGTAAGATGGTCCAAGTGCCTGAGCTCCTGCCACTCACATGGGAGACCTGAAGGAAGCTCCTGGCTCCTGGATTCAGCTTGTCCCAACCCTGACGGTCGCAGCCCTTTGGGGAGTAAACCAGTGGATAGAAGATTCTCTCTCTCTCTCTCTCTCTCTCTCTCTCTCTCTCTCTCTCTTTGTCTCTCTCTCTCTCTCTTACTCTCTTTCTCTCTCTCTTCCCCCTCCCTCCCTCTCTTTCTATAACTCTGATGTTCAAATAAATAAATACATTTTTAAAAAAGAATATACTAGGAATACATCTCAAAAGGGTTATTTACAAAGTTAACTGTGTTAATGTGTATAAAGCACTTAGACAGGTATCTAGCCCATAATAGGCAGCACTTATGTTACACTTATTAGTAGTACTGATGCTCTTTTATTTGCAAATTATTTACCAAGTTCCTACCATACTAAGTTCTGAGGAAACAGCAGAGAATCAAACAGTCCAAGTGCCTACCCCCATGAATTTTATATTCTAGAGGGGAATGGGTCATAAAGAATTCTTTTTTACTCCACTATAGAAAGAACTACAAAAGAGTGATGTACACAGATCTGGAGGACCACATGAACAGACCATGAGAAGTCTAAGATTTTAGAGTACTGTATAAATTCCTGCCACAGATTCCCTGGTAGCTCAGCTTACATAATTAGCTTGATCTGCAGTAAGAGGGAAGAAGGGAGGGAGGGAAGAAAAACCCAAGACATGTTCCTCTTTATTGTGCAGTAAAGCTTCCAACCCCAAAAGTATACATCAGTGTGACTTGGTGAGTAATTATTCAACATTTCTTAGCTCTGGAGGTGTGACTGTCTGATATCTTTCCACGTTTTCAGAAAACTCAACATTGAAAGCTACTCTCAGACTTCAGTTGAAACACTTGGAAAAATGATACTTCTAAGTTGCCCCTGAACACACTGTTTTCTTGCAGGCAATTTGTTTATGTGAGCTAAATTTATTATATGAAAGTGAGACATCACCAGGTAAAGCATCACTAATTAGTGATTTATGAACATTGAAGAATAAGTTGCTGAGATACACATTCCTATTATAAAAAGAAATTTATTAAATGTGTTGATTTTTAAAATATTAGAAATAAATGTGAAATTACTAATAGAGATAGTTCTAAATATTCATATACTTAAAATTGATGAGCCATTTAATCTTAATTCTGCTTCAATTATTCAAGCAAATGCCTAACAGACTCTAAGAGGAGTGGTATGTCTTATTCCCTTCCTCCTGCCCTTCTTCTCTTCCTTCTTCTCTTTGCAGACCAAGATGGTAATTTTTTTCCAATGTGACATCATTCTAATATTTGCAAGTACTATGAGTCTCTAAACGATAAGATGTATAATATAAGAGTACAGGATTCCACCAAGTTCAAAGGTCTATGGAGTTGCAGAACATAATAGCAACTGAAATAATACTCAACCCAAACTACAGCCATCAGGAAACAGTTACATATACTCTGACTCGACTTAGGTCTTAAGTCAAAGGGGCTTGTTCAACATCACAAATTCTACCCTTTTGTAATAAGTCTGACAACCATAAGCAAGGGTCACATGCATAATCAGTATCACCGCAGAGTTCAGCAGCATCCTTGTCAATAATCCTCTTTCCTATGTTGCAAACTCAAAAGGGCATAAGATGGTAATTTAAACTGAGTTATCCTGGAATCTACAGCAGAAAAGCATGTGTCACTCCAAATTTTTAAATTTGCCAATATTTTGCATTACAAAATACTAAATTTTATTAAAATTTTCCAAGTTTTTAAATTTACCAATATTTTTCTTTACAAAGTTATAAAATTAAAGTTATTTTGAAGTAAAAAAATTCAATTTGTCTCCTCCATTTGTAGGTTAGGTATCAACTCTCTAATACCAATTAGCTCAAGCAAATTTGTTTCCATTTGTTAGCGAGAATAAGACATATGATTGCAAAAATATATACCTATGAACCAAATAGTTTTTACTATTATCAAATTAGTGCCACCATATGCTAAAAATTCAAAATGGAGGGAACTTATTAATGAAAGCCAATATGTTCTCATTCCACTCCTCACTTCCCTTCCTTCTTAGAAGTAACCATTTCTAACCATTTTTTAGAATTTTGTTCTTGTGACTCTAACACTATATTTGTTCTGTGCTTCCAGATTTTCAATTCTAGATTATGTATATTGACTCACACTGTTATAATGTTAAGCTTTTTGGTTTCCCATTTTTATATTTATGTTTGTAAGTTTAGACAGTATACTTAAACTTTCATTTCTGAGCCTATCAAATGTATATGCTGCAGCTTCAATTCTTGTTCTGTAAATTGCCCCTCAGCCTTTTCTTTCTTTAAGATTTATTTATTTTACTTGAAAGTCAGAGTTACACAGAGAGAGAAGGAGAGGCAGAGAGAGAGAGAGGTCTTCCATCCACTAGTTCACTCCTCAATTTGCCGCAACAGCCGGAGCTACACCAATTCGAAGCCAGGAGCCAGGAGCTTCTTCCAGGTCTCCCACACTGGTGCAGAGGCCCAAGGGCTTGGGCCATCTTCTACTGCTTCCCCAGGCCATAGCAGAGAGCTGGATAGGAAGTGAAGCAGCTGGAATTCCAACCAGCGCCCATATGGGATGCCAGCATAGCAGGCAGCGGCTTTACCTGCTACACCAGAGCGCCGGCCCTCTTCAGCCTTTTTCTTAGAGCCTACTTCTCTCCAGTATAAATTTATTTTCATATGATCATAAATGATAGCACTTCTAGTCTATAATTAAGTCTTGTATATTTTGTTTGGTTTGAATGATTGTAAGAATCGAAAGCTACTTACTAGCATCCACAGGAACAGGATGTTGTAAATACCAACATCACAGAGCCAAGCAGTGAGTGAGAATCACATGGAATTCTCCATCAACACAATTCTTCCCTGAAAGTGAATATCCTTTGTGTCAGGTCATATGGATTCATGCTGTTTCCATCACTAGCTCATAACCATGGCATGATTCATATTTATAGCTGAACTTTCTTATAGCTCTTGAAATATCATGTAATTTTTTCTGAAATACCTAATTTTCATTTTTCTTACTGAAAAAGAAATAAAGGGAGTATGTCCTTAGCACAGTTTCTAAGTCATGTGGCCTAAAAGCTACAGTATCTGTGCACAGAATGGAACCAGTTCCTTCCCAGAGAACTCTCTCTGGAAACTCTGCCCACAGAACAGACAAGGACCTATCACTGTGCAGCCTGGCCAAGTTCTGCTCTTCCCATTTAAATCCACTGGTTCCAGGATCAACAGCCATTTTCTTGTTTTTTTTTTTTTTTTTTTTCTCTTTGTGATGAGTTGCACCTTCAAGAAACATCCTTTTAAAATGTGTGTAGCAGGGGACAGCGCTGTGGCATAGTGGGTAAAGCTGCCACCTACAGTG